GAAAGAGAGACAGGAGGGAGAGGGAAGAGGGAAGAGAGAGAGAGAGAGAGAGAGAGAGAGGTGGAAAGGGTTGAGCACGGTGGAAAGAGGATATCGCTCTATGTTTGGCCAGGAAGCGTTGTTTATGCGAAACGGTCAGCACACCGAGTTACGATGTCAGCGGCTCGTTCTGGTTGGCTTCGTTTGATAATTCGATTGCACTTTTGCACCTCGAGCACCGTGACGCCTCCCCCTCTCTTTTCTTCTCGTATCAAGCTACGAGAGCTCGGCTCCCGTCCAATTAAATTTATTCGGGCGTGTTTTCGAGGGGGGAAAAAACGTGGCCGCGATTCAGAGATTGTAAAAGAGGGAGGAGGACGCAGGGGAAGAGAGAAAGAGAGAGAGAGAGAGAGAGAGAGCGAAGAGAATGAAGTGTCCTCGTTTTTTCCTATCATCTAGTTATTTTTTTCTCTTTTTTTTTTCTTTCTTTTGTCAATTTCCAAAATCCGACGATTCACTCACTTCGAATACGAAGTTTCACTTATACGCGAAAGATGATTAAAACTATGATGAGATTTCCGTTTTTTATTTGGGGAAATAATAAACGGACACGCCTCGATTCAAAATCTCTTCTTCCATTGTTTCGCAGGAAATTCTTGGAATATCTGTACAAACGAATTTTCGAATATTTCGAGAGAAGTGGGGAAAGATATTTTCTCAGTACCATCTCTCCAATTCCATCTTCCTCCCAATTCAAAAGCTTAGAAATAAAAGGACGTTGTTTTCTCTTTCCTGGCTCGATATAGTCGTGCAAAGTCGTGACTAACCGAGCTTTTATTCCCAACTTTCCTCCGGGATTAATCCACGTCGATCGTGAATAGATATCGTTCCCCGCAGTTTTGATGATGATTGATGATGACGGAGAGACTGTTACTAGGTATACTAACGAGGATACCATCCTCCAATAGACCCCTCCCCGGGGCTATACCAACGCTCGAATTTCGTTCGATGAAATTCCGAAGGATTACGAAGGTAACACGTGTCCAGACACGTCCATCTCGAAGAAAATAAATCTCGAGAAATGAGGAAAGAAATTCGCGTAGGAGAACAATAAGGGAGGCAACTACCGCCTTCCCGTTCCAGAGATGTTAACTCTGGGAAGATTAATCCGCGGAAACGTTTAATGAGCAAACAAGATCGACGTGATTTTTCTTTTATCTTTCGTTCGAATATCGGGGAGAAATTCCGAACGACTCTGCTAGAAATTTCGCGAGAAATTTCCTTTCCGTCTTGTTGGAAGGGGAAGGTTTCAAAGAAGACGAGTTTTCTTTTAGAAAATTCCTTCGTACGCGGAAAAAGGAAGAAAACCGAGCGAGTTGGTAAAAACTACGAGAATAATGGATCTTGGTAAAAATTCTGCTTAATCCTCGGTCAATAGTGTTTTTTCCTTCTTTCTTTTTCTTTCTTTTCCTTCTTCTTCTTCTTCTTCTTCTTTTTTTTTTTTTCATTTTCCAAGAAAGATATTATGCATCGATCAACCAAGTTTTTAGCAGACCACTAGAAATACGGGAGAATATTTTCGAGGAAACGTACCGATTCAACGGAACCAATTTGTTTTGCTTTCAGCGCCTGTACAACTTCGCGAAATATCGAAGGAGGGCCCGGAGAGGCGACCAAACGACGCCAATAATGACTCAGCCGAAGGGGATTTACCCGTTTTTGAACCGACAGCGGCGAACGTCAGCGCATTCGTCGGACAAACCGTGTACCTGCCATGCCGTGTGCGAAATTTGGGAGATAAAGTGGTAAGCCGCAGTAATTTTCTTCCCGAACGAAACTGAAGTTATCTCTTCGAACCTGTTCTTCGAAAAGACAGGGCGAGAAAATAACTAGCTTTGTCGTTCTTTTACGAAGAAAGAAAAAAGAAAAAATAGGGAGATAGAGAAA